CCCCGCGCCGCCGGCCTGCTGAGCGCCGTCACCGCCGTGCACGCCCTCGCGCCCCGGCTCGGCGTGCGCCTGCAGGACCTGCTGGGCTGGGTCAAGATGGCCATTGTCGCCTTCATGGTCCTCTGCGGGGGCTACGTCGTGGCCCTCCGGCCGGCCACGGGGCCGCGGGGCGCCGGCGCGCTGCTGTCGTGGGAGCGGCTGTGGCGCGACAGCAACTGGGGCTGGGGCGTCGTGTGTCCGGCCCTGTTCAAGGTCTTTTACTCGTACGCCGGGCTGGACAATGTGAGCAACGTGCTCAACGAGGTCCGCGACCCCGTGCGGACGCTGCGCTCCGTCACCCTCACGGCGCTGCTCACCTCGTGCGCCCTCTACCTCCTCGTCAACGTCGCCTACCTGCTCGTCGTGCCCCTCGACGACATCAGGGGCAGCGGGGAGCTCATTGCCGCCCTGTTCTTTGAGCGCGTCTTTGGGGAGCACGTCGGCAGAAAGGTGCTGCCCCTGGCCGTCGCCCTGTCGGCCGTCGGCAATGTCATGGTCGTGGCCTTTGCAATGGTGAGAGGACAAGAGTTCTTTTCCGAATCAGACCCCCCCCCCTTGTTCAACCCACACTGATACTGACACGGTTGGCTAACTGCTCGACAAATAAAGGCGCGCCTCAAGCAGGAGATTGCGAGACAGGGCTTCCTCCCCTTCTCCGACGTCCTCTCGTCCACCAAGCCGTTCAACTCGCCCGTTGGCGGCCTGCTGGTCAACTACGTTCCCTCCCTGCTCGTCATTGTCCTGCCCCCCTCGAGTGAGGTCTACTCCTTCATCCTCGAGGTCGAAGGGTACACGGGGCAGATCTTTGGCCTGGCCACTGGCCTGGGCCTACTGTGGCTGCGGTACAAGCGGCCGCATCTTAAGCGGCCCTTTAAAGCGTGGATTTCGGCCGTGGTCTTGAGGTTGTTGCTGGGCGTTGGCCTGCTTGCGGCGCCATTCTTCCCGCCGGCCGACAAGTACAAGGGCGGTCTGTTCTACGCTACGTATGCCATTGTGGGAGCGGGCACGTAAGTCTGACCCTGCCAGGCTTTGTTGTTTTTCAAGTTTGGTGTGGAAGCTAATAGTGAACCTAGCATCGTGGGAAGTGTTGCGTATTGGTACGCCTGGACGGTTGCTGTTCCCAGATGGAGGGGGTATAGATTGGAAGAGGAGAGCACAATACTTGCCGACGGGACATCTGTTACGAAACTAGTTCATAAACGTAAATGAGGAATATGCAAGACGAGGGTGTACGGGAAACCGCAGTAGAAGCAATTTGCTATAAATGAATCGAAAGATGCACAAAACACTTTGCAAGTCCAACACGTCATGACTATCGCACCACCAGGTCGACTATTTGCTTCCCACCACCTGAACGAAACCACTTGTACATCACTCCGCGGACTACCCACCCGATTCTCGAGTCGGCGGAATAGTGATTGGCCACGGGTGACGCGATCTGTCACCATGCCGCCAACCGTCCTCCTGCTCCGCACGGATTTGAAATCATCCTGCGCTCCGCCGGCATGAACCCATCTTGTGCCGCCCATTGGGGAATGCCCGAGCCGCCTGTTCCCATCGGCCGTGATTATGAATCCCGGCATGAATAAACACCGCGGCGCAAGATTGCGTGCTAACGTCATGAGCTCCCCCGGGCCCCTACATAAACGACCCTCCCCCCCCCTTTCCCCCAAAACTAAAACACCACGACGTGAAATAACCACTTCCACCAGTCCAGGTATAAACACCACCTCACCCGAGACACAACACAAACAGCCTCCATCCTGTAATAACACCTGTACCACCAGCATGGCCGCGGCAGCTGTACAAAGCCCCCTCATCCCCAGCAGCAACAACACGCCCCAAGCCCTCCAGCGGACACAGGAGCGCTCCGTCCCCAAGCACGACGTGACCACCACCCTCAGGTACCACAAGGACAACGAGGACGGCTCGCCGCCTCACCCGACCTACGCCGGCCGCCCAGAGACGTTTGAGCGGCCCTTTGAGCCGCACCAGGTCACAATCAAGGACATTGCGGGCCAAGAAGCCAACTACACGCTCGACGGCAACGGGTTCCAGGTCCTCGGCCACGTCGCCACCGAAAAGGCCTTTGTGGACGACGACCAGATCAAGAGCAGCTACTACCCCGAGACGGAGCAGCTCCTCAAAGACGTGTATGTCGCGGGCAACTTGGCCCCCCCCCGAGCGCACACCAAACAAAAGCTAACCCGCCCGCAGAACAGGGGCAAGCAAAGTCTTCATCTTCGACCACACCATCCGTCGCCCGCCCGCCGGGGGGCCCTCCGCCGAAGGGGCCCTCCGCGGCCCCGTGCAGCGCGTCCACATCGACCAGTCCTACTCGGCGGCCCGGTCGCGGGTGCCCTACCACCTCCCCGACGAGGCGGAGCGCCTGCTGAGGGGCCGCGTGCAAATCATCAACGTCTGGCGGCCCATCCGCAAGATTGAGCGCGACCCGCTCGCCGTGGCCGAGGCCGCCTCGGTGCCGGACTCGGACCTCGTCCCCACGGAGCTCATTTACCCCAACCGGCGCGGCGAGACGTACGCCGTCAGGCACAGCCCCGCCCACAGGTGGTTCTACAGGTCGGGCCTCGAGCCGGGCCAGGTGCTGCTGATCAAGTGCTTCGACAGCAAGACGGACGGGAGGGCGAGGAGGGTCCCGCACACGGCGTTTGAGGACGCCGCCGCGCGGGAAGACGCCCCTGCCAGGGAGAGCATAGAGGTGAGGGCCCTGGTGTTTCACGAGCACGACACCGACTGATGGGTGGACTCGGGGTTTCCCTTGAACGACGGTGTGGACTTGTGACTTGTTTTCGCGGACGGGGAGAAATTCCTTGGTCGAGAGGATTGTGTTGTTTGGACCCAGGGGCCGAGTGTGGTTTCCAAGTTGTATTAGTGGCATCAGTACCGGTACACGTAGAACAACCGTCAAGTGCGTTTTTGCTTCCTCGTCTGATTTGCACCCGCCACGCATCATGACCCAGGGAAAGTCGAGTCCGAGAATGTCCCAAGTGATTCATGTATATACAGAGCCGTTCGTGAACAAGAACCGGGGCATGTACTCAAACCAGCGTCTTTCAAAAAAGAAGAAAAAAAAGGCAACGGTAGACCACCAGCCGAAATGGCAACACCCTCCTCCCCAGTGTACCCCCCATCAACTGATACGAAAACGCCTAGTCATCCGATTCCCCCAAACCGCCGTCCACCTCGCCGTCCTCGTCAACAAGCCGCTCGAAAAACGGATTCTCACCCTCCTCCACGGGCCTCTGCGTCACGCGCGGCACGGGCACAACCCTCGCGCCGTCGACGCCCACCATCCAGTCGTTGCGGAAAAAGTCCACCACCAGCTCGAACCCCTGCTCAAACTCGTGCCACTGGATCGGCGGCACAAGCAGCTTCGGCGCCGGAACCTCCCTGTCCAGCGTGATGAAGGCCTCGGGCATGGGCGCGTCGCTCCAGCAAGCCGCAAAGTTGAGCGGCGGCAGGGCCTCCTTGTTGACGTCCTGCAGGACGTGGACCCTGTTTCCCGCAACCTGGATGTTCTCTTCGTTGAGGACGACTTCGCGGTCGAGCATCATGACGGGCGCGCAGAGGAGTTTGCCCCGGGTGTAGTTGCTGCACTTGTCGTACAGGTCCATGACGTCCCTGCTCTTCCAGGGGTTGAAGAGCGGGTGCGTGTGCATGAAGCAGCACGGGTTTTGGACATCCTCTCCCTTCAGCCCGGCGAGGTCGTGCCCGTCTCCGGCCTCAAGCCCGACAAGAGGTTCGTCTGGCGCTCGCTTGATGAGGCCGTCAAGGTGTGCCTTTTCGAGGCGGCGCAATGGGGTCGTCTTGCCGGGGCGTCGCGCGGAAAGGTATTTCCACACGTCGGCCGATGAGCCGAACCGCTCTTTGACGGTGGTAGACTCGGCGAGAGATCGAAAGGGCTGCTTGCCGAGTTTGCAGTTGAAGTAGTCCAGGACCGATATGGCCGCGTAGTCTTTGAGATTCATACTTTCGCACTTTGGAAACCAGTAGTTGTACCCGTTTGTCACGAACCCAAGTCCGTGGAACCGCTTCAAAAGATAGACGGGCTCGGAAACCGTCTTGTCCAGAGACCAGTGCAGAGAGTTCGCCCGCTCAAAGCACTCGTGCGCATACGAGGCCAGCTGCTTATCCAAGAGACTCTGCCCCGTCATGTAGCACGCCGTGCTGAAGGGCTGGGAAATCCTGTCGTCTCGCTTCAAATTCTCGTCCTTGAAAATAAGCTCCGTCCGGAGAAAGACTTTATCTCCCTGGATAAAGGGCCGCCCCTCATGTCGGTACCTTTGGTCGAATATCACGCACGTCATTTCTTCGACGCTGTTCATGTCCACGTCCTGAACGCGGAGAAGCGGTGCGTTCTGCCCGGCAGAGAGGTAGACGAGCAGCGTGTACTTGGACACGTGGTTTCTCGCCCTGTCGTAGTAAGGCGTGTCCAGGTGGTTCTCGAAGTTGCCGTCCCCGGGAGCAAACTTGTTACTCCGGAAGACGTAGTTGACAAACTCGAATGAATCGGCCAACTCCCCATCTCCAACCACGTCCAGAAGCCCACTCGTCTTCACAGCCCGTGTGAGCACCTCGCTCAAGATGGCGGAATGGAATATAAAACGCTGGCCTCCGCGTGTGCCTCTGTTCAAGGGGGCAACGTACAGCGACAGGCCAGAAATCTCCTTCAGCAACGACGTGCCGTGTTCTCCCTCCAACACGGCAGTAAACACCTCCTTATTCCGTCCCAGCCGCGCAACACTCTTCAGCCCCAAGTCCATCCCATCCACGGCCTCGGCCTGGCGCATCCCGGTCCTCCCCTCAACCCACTTGTCCAACGGGACGATGTTCTCGAAATTATGATACGACAGCTCGGCCGGGTTCACAAAGACGGCAAACAATCTCGGCGCCTTCATGACTTGCGCAAAATGGTTGACAGCCCTATCACGGACCTTGTTATCCAAGTCCTCGATGTACTTCAACACGGTATAGCCCCTGGATGGATAAAACGACACGCTCAGCCCCCCCACAAATGCCGGGTCTTGGTCCCCGTCCAGAAGATCAATCATCCTCTCGAGGATCTTCTTGTCCGTCTCGCGCGCCGACCCGCTCCGGCATGTTGCCAGGAACAGGTTGCGCGCGCCCAGGGCAAGAATGAGCTTCTGCTCATCGTTCAACGACGAGTACTTGAGCGACGCGTGCGGCGCATTGGCAATGACCTCGTGGAAGAAGGCGATTGATTGCCAGTGGGAATCGGGGTCTACAGAAGTGGCGTTGAGGGCTTCTATACGCGGCGCTTTCCCAGGCCGGTGGTCTTGTTCATTCTTGCGTTTTCGGGAGACGCCGCCGCGTGATGAATCCGATGGCGAGTTGTCGCCGGCGTCTTCAGGACCAGGAGACAGGGTCCCGCTTGAAAAGGGGTTTCCACGCCCCATTTCGCGAAGCGGTTACAGCCCCATGTGTGTCAATGGCAATTGGTGTCGAGTCGGGGTGAGAGCTTGAGAGGCATGACGGCGGCTCGGCTGTGCGGCGTTCGTTTCCCCGGACAGTCATGATTCGCCGATTCGAGAAATGCAACGCTGGTTGTCAAGAAGGCCGGCACGAACCACCACTTGCAATGCAAGACAAAATATACAAACACTCGAATTCCTCCCTTGCCAAAAACATGAATCGACTTGGTGAATTCCAAAGAAGAATCCTTGCAACCCCTCTTACAAGTCCACGTCTTTGCAGCCTCGCCACATTCCCCCGACTCCGCTCCCTCGACATCTGCCAGCTCGCAGCAAGCAGCAGCCACCCCCGGACCCAGCCGCACCTTCCCTCCGCATCGAATCCAACCACCCCGGTCAACCAGCCCAACTTATATCCAGGAACCAGCCCTGCATCATCTCACCGTCCTCACTCACTCACTCACTCACTCACTCACTGCCATAAGAACTTGGAAGAAGAAAATCCTCAACGCTCACACCCTTCCAATGCACGTCTTGTAAAACCGGCCCACCCAGTGTCCGCGACACAAAAGTCTGCAAAACAAAACACAAAAGCCTCCGCCCGCAACCATGGACGAGCCCTCGTCCGCGATCCACACCATCGTCCACATCGTCAGATACATCGCCGCGGCGCTCTCGCTCCCCCTGCGCCTGGCCTGGATCCCGCTCTCCTACGTCCTGGCCCTTGTCAGCAACCTCCTCGCCCCGGCGGGCTACATACTAGGCTACCTAGGCGGATGGGTAGGCGCCGTCGCCGGGCTCCTCGTCAGCCTGGAGGTAAGACGTGATACTCCGATTTTTCGCAAGCAAAAAACGCTAATCTTGCCGACCCAGCCCCTGTACACATTTGTACGTACCATGTTCCACTCCGTCGTGCCCAACTAACAAGGTTGCATAGTTTAGCGTGGCAGCATTCATAGGCGTCATCGCGGGCGTCCTCATGGCCGTCGCATCCGCCGTGCTGACCACGTACTTCAACATGCAGGACGAGCCGGAGGACACGTCGTCGCAGGGGCAGCGCGAGGCCCTCGCGCACAGCAAGCAGGTGTACCTGGAGCAGCAGTATCTCCGACAGGAGCCGCAGGGCTTGGAGCCAGACTGGCACTGGGCCGACACGTCGCAGTCGCAGTCGCAGTCGCCGGCGAGGCTGAGGCGCGTGTCTGGGCTGCAGACGGAGACGATTCTCGAGGAGGATGATTCTGAGGAGTGATTTGCCATTGTTATCGATGGGCAAGTATTTTTACTTCTTTTTCTTGTTTTTGAACTTGGGACCGGTTGGGCATCGCATCTAGAGCGCTTGTATTTCTTTTCCCTACGCAAGATACCCCGATTTCGTTTTCAGCCCGTCTTTGTAATAATACGACTAATCACAATGTAACTTTGCTACATCTACCTTTTAGTACGGTAAAAGTAATTCTACATGACTTCGATCCCATCAAAGCAGACAATCACTCACACTATCACTCACACTGATTCGACCGTACTAATCTCCTTCGTCATGTGTGTTTCACTACTCCGTATACACCATGCCAACTCCATACGACTACACAATAATCCTATGCAGATATTCCTGTGTTTGTTTCTCATGAGCCATCCCCATTCCTGTTCCAACGCCAATAAATCTGCATACTTGTGCGATGCTTTTCCGTCTTGCCGGCATCGCCAGTGTAGGCCCACGTCTCATCATCATCAAAAGAGGCAACCCCCCTACCGTCTGTACATGTCTCGGTCCATCCTCCTCTCGTGAACCGGCGACCGACTTCGACTCCTGGTCCTTCGATCCCATCGCTCATCCTTTCCGGCATATCGCCTTCGATCATCTCGCGGGCGCTCATCTCTCCGTCTGCCTGCTTCGTCGCCCCTATACGCGGGGATATAGGTATCGATATCCGCTCCTGCGCCTCCACCGCCTGGTCCTCTCCCTGGAGGACGGTTCCTCCTATATTCAGGGTCATCTCTGTTACCTGGTCTGTCCTGCGGCGGCGGTCGGCCTTGGGGTCCCCTATCTCGTTGCCATGCTGGTCGGCGTTCGTCTCTATACCGACCGCCGTTGACACCGCTTCGGCCATATCCATCACCACTGTTGAAGCCGGCCGTAGCATTGTTTGCGTCGGGGCCAATACCCACGGTGCCACCCTTTGGGGCTGGTGGTAAATTGGCTTTCCGGTCGTGAAACTTTCTCCTATCGAGCTCATGGCTCTCTTCATATGTGGGGATGTCTTCAGGCGCCATCGGCAACGGTGCCATTTTAAAGTATGCGTGTTCCAAGGCATCAACGGCGTTGATTCGTGTTCTCCAGTCTAGTTTAAGGAGTTCTTTGAGCAGCGAAATGGCGCCAGACCCAAACCTATGAGATCTGATTAGCCGCTCAATGCTGGCACAATATATTTTTTTTCTTCTTGTGGGAATAAACTTACTCTCTGAACCGACTTTGCAAGTTTCCAGGACGAGGCCGGGGTGTCAACTTCTCCCCACCGGGAAGTTGTTTCCACCCGGGCATCACGTCGTCATTCGGTGAGCCCATCAGGTCCCATATCAACTCAAGCTGGTGCGGGTCACTTTCGCCTGCGAGGATGGGCTTCCCAACCAACATTTCCCCAAAGACGCAGCTAGAAGCGTTTGCTAGTTAGTGTGTGGCCGCTTTTTTTATCATCTGAGGCATGGAAGACATACCCAACACCCCACACGTCAATGGCAGTAGTGTACTGTCTGAGTTGTAGCAGCAACTCGGGCGGCCTATACCACCTGGTCACGACCAACCCTGTGTAATCGCGACGCCCCTCGCCCATTGGTCGTCCAGCCTGCGGCGTAGGGCCATCGTAGTGCCTGGCCAGGCCGAAATCGGCAATTTGCAGAATACCATGGTTATCTATTAGCAGATTGGCGGCCTTCATGTCTCGGTGGAGGATGTGATTATCGTGGAGGTAGCAAAGTCCCTGTAGTAACTGCTTCAAGTAGCACTTGATCTGGGCTTCTTTGAAGTGGACCGAGGGATTGTCCAGCAAGCCAGATAAGTCGTGGTCCATGTAGGGAGTGGCCATGTACATGATTGGCTTCTTGCGCTTGTCGGCTGTTTTGCAGAGGTTAGTTGGCTGGGGGTTGTTGCTAACGCCGCGCTTTGTGGTAACGCACTTGATCGAGATGGATGCTCGACAGCCATATCCTCCAACCTCAGAATATTTTTGTGTGAAAGCAACTTGAGGAGCTTGATCTCACGGAGGGCGGTGATGGGAAACTGCCAAGGTGAATGATGGTTAGCATTTCGACGCTTATGATGATGGCGTTGAATGGCATGGCGGTTGCATACTCCGTCCTTTTCGTGGTGCATGATGATCTTTTTAAGCGCGACGAGGGCACCCGTCTTTTTGGATCGAGCGCGGTGGACCTCACTGGCGAGAGTGTCAGCTTCTTGTCGCCTCTACCGAAGACTCTCTGACGTGGCGCGCAGTCGACAGGATGATGCGTACCCGAAAGTTCCCTCTCCCAGTTTCCCTTGTAGCTCGTAATCGGAGATGCGCGAACAGCCTTGGAAGCTGTGCTTGGGTCTGAGATGATTGAGGGCAAAGGTACGTGGCGAGGTGCCGTCGGGCGTGGTCTCTGGAGGCCGATCCATGATGAGCAGTAGAAGAAAGCAAGTTGGGAGGTTGATTCAAGCAACGGAGGAGTCGGTCGTCTACCGACAGGCGGCGCGTCGAGGTGAAGGGACAAGCGACTCAGGTTAGCATTGCCGCGGTGCGTCTGGCTCACGGGATGGACGCGAGTTGGGAATGATGGATCGATTCGGAGACAGCGCTGCGATCGTGGGACGGGGGTTGCGGTTCGCTTGGGCTCGAGCAGCCAAGGACGGCGTGATGATACGAGTCTGAGGTTGATGGATTGGAAGGGCGAAAGTCGAGGATGGGCTTGGACGGAGAGCAGATCTCTGTACGCAAAAGTACCTGGAATGGTATTAATATAGGGCCGAGATCAAGGTTCTTCAAGGTACCATTGCCTTTGTTGGCTGAACGTGGAATGTGATTGGGCACTATGGAGTTGGGTGCAGGTGGTCCAGGCCGCTTCAGTGCACCAAGGCCAGTGCCACTAGTAATAACATGCCACTGGCAAGCAGACGTTGAATAGCACCAGACGATTTGGGTTGACCTGACATGGACAGCTTCTTCAACAGCCACGTCCAAAACTCGGCATCATGCACATCGACGCCAGCTGCATCACGAATCCCGGCACACAGTGACGTAGGTGCACAATGCCGTAATTGCAAAGCTAGCGCATGCTGCGTCATGATTTGATTCATTTCCAGGACATGTCACCTTTTTTTCTTTCGTGCCATGCCACTTGATCTGCGCGAGCTTGCAGAGCTGAATGAGTTCAACTTGCCCAACTGGCCAATGTGCGTGTGTGTGCTCGAGACCAGCTTTCCCTCTTGCCCAGGTCGTCATTGCCAGACACGTCTGCATAATCTATATATGCAATGCAATGCAACCACCAAGCAAGCACAACTATGAACTGCATCGTAAACACCACCATAAGTAATAGTAAACCCCGAGTGTCGCAACCTACAAGACGGGATTAAGCCAACACACACCACAGACAGTAATACAATTCCAATCCCATTGCTTCTCACCGAACACAGCATGAGTCCAGACCCAGAACAGGATTCATCCCCATGACCAGCAAACACCCCAATCCCACCGTCTCGCCGCAACCACCCAAGCAACCCAACTCCGGCAGCCCAGTCCCGTCGGCAACCTACCAACAAAAAAAAAAAATGAAATAAAAATCAAACCACACAGGACCTACACATGCGCCCCGAGTTTCCATTACCCCTACTAAACTGTCAGCAACGAATCCCCATCCAGCTATGACTAAGAAAAACCGGAACTTGTCGCCCCGCCCTTAGCCAATCCCGATGCATGCCGTGCCCGTCGGGGGTCCCGCTTGGCTCCGTGCCGCCTTTAGGGTCCGTCGTCGGAACTACTAGTCTGCCATGCCATCTCATCTTCTCACGCCGATGCGCATCTCGTCTTTTTCTCTTTTTGCGATATGTGACTGCGGCTGCGGCGTTGGACATTTTGTTTCTTCAGATTCGCTCGTTTGTCTGGCCTTCGTACAACCCTCATTCCACCCCATCGCGAGCCCGTCCCAAGTGCTCAACCACCCTCGTATATTTAAACAGCACCTTTACGCTTCGCATCAAGGCGGACATCACCACCCGCCTCATTTCTTCATACCCGGGCACACGTCGTGTCCTGACACAGAAGCATCCCGCAATACGCTTTGTCTGAATACGGTGTGAGGGATACTCTCCACGACATGCCCCTTACATCCCGTTCCCCCAACAATATTCTAGACACACGGCTGACAACATCATGGCAGACTGTCCTCACTCGGTCCTCGGCCAACCATGTCGCCGTCGCAGACTCTGGACGCGACCGCCGCGGGCCTGCCCGAGTCGCGAGTCCTCATCATCGGCACCGGAGGCACGATATGCATGCAAGAAGGCCCAGACGGGCTCGCCCCCAGCGAGGACTTCCTGGAGACGGCCATGGCGCCCCGGCCAAGCTTCAACGACATGTCGGGACTGGATGGTTCGTCCTCGCCCACTCGTCCTTTGCCCATGTGTTTTGCACTCTTCTCAAACGACTACGCATCCTCTCTGATGACCTAGTACACGTCTACTTTTTATCATCTTGCTCAAAGAAAAAACCTTCACTCCACCCACCTCCACCACCCCCAACATCCCACAATATCACACGATGCTAACATCGTCGCCACCACCAACAGTCAAGCTCCAAGCCTACCGAAGCGGCCAGCTCACCTTCCTGGCGTCCCTCCGCACGCCGCCAACGGCCTACCACCGACACATCCGCTACTCGGTGCTGGAATTCACCCCCCTGCTCGACAGCTCGTCCATCTCGGCGGGCGATTGGGCCAGCATGGCGGTGTGCGTCAAGGAAAACTACCACCTCTTCGACGGCTTCGTCATCCTGCACGGGACCGACTCGCTCGCGTACACGGCGTCGGCGCTCTCCTTCATGATGAGCAACCTGGGCAAGCCCGTCATCCTCACGGGGTCGCAGGCGCCCATCTTTGCGCTGCAGTCCGACGCCGTCGACAACCTGCTCGGGTCGCTCATCCTCGCGGGCACCTTTGTCATCCCCGAGGTCGGCCTCTTCTTCCACCACAAGCTGTACCGCGGCAACCGCACCACCA